CGCGCACCCACTCGGCACTAGCAAAACATCACGATGCCACTTAAACATCGGACACGCGCCGGGATGTTCGTTGGCGAATGAATTGGCGCGCGTGCGCATTTGCGAAATAAGGGAGTTGCGCGCGGGCGGCGAGAGTGCGGCGTTGTGGTAGGGGGCGGGAGGTGATGGGTGGAGAGTCCAGACAGAGCCAGTAGCGGCGGTTGCGCTTGGGGGGCGCGCGGGCGCGGCCGCGCGCGGCTCGGCGCGCGCGGTGCCAAGCGCGCAATGGCGGCGAGAAGATTTTTTTCGAGGGGGGGGGGGGGGGGATTTGCGCGCGCGCTTGAAACCGCGAGTGCGCCGCGGTGGTGCATGCGCGCGCGTCTGCGCGCGCGCTAGTGGTCGCGGCGTTTGCGCGCGCGCGGTGCGTGCTTTTTGGTGGCAGGTGCGGGGGGGGGGAAGGGGAACGAGGGGTGGGGGGGGTAGATTGCGAAAATTCAGCCACAATCGCAGGGCCACGGTTGAAAGACACATGTCGGGAAAGGACAGGCGAACGCAGCAGGCGCAGGCGCCTACTCTTGCCGCTGCGCAAGCAGCGCCGGTCGCGGATCGAAGCCCCGCTAGCCGCGGCGCCACCAACATTGGATCGCGCAGCGTGCGGCGAGCCACCCGCGCAAGTCAAGCACGGCTTAGGCCCGAAACAACAGCGGTTCAAAAGTCAGCCCGCACGCACGAAGCAACAAAAACAGCGGCTTAAAAGTCAGACCTGAAACCAGAGGCGGAGCCGATAGCAAAGAAACAATGGTTTAAAAGTCAGACGTGAAATCAGGCGCGGAGCCGATATCAACAAAAAACAGCAAAACAACAGCATTATAATTCCATGGAAATAACTTTTAAAGAGGTCACAGCCGCCGCGGTGCCAAATCGGAAAGCAAGTCGGCACCGACCCGCGATGCCGACCACTGATCCAAGCACTCGCCAGGCGTCGGTCGGAATCCGAACCACTCGCTGAACCACTCGCTGCGTCGCACCTAGAAACAGAAGCGCCCTGCGGCGGGCGGGCGCGGAGCTCGCGCGGCGCCGGGTTCGCCTTCGGGGAACCAAGTTGGGAATCCACCGGGGCGCGCCACCGCTGCGCGAACTACTGCTCGGCGGCTGCAACGGGGTAGTCTGCAGAGCGCTTTGTCGCTTCGGCGGCCTCGCGAGCGCAGCCGCGCCGCTTCGCGCTAAGCCAGGGTTGCGCGAGGCGCCGTTCGCCTGACACGTCTGGCCCGACGGTTCGGCGGGCCGCTATCGCGAATCGGTTCGCCTGCTTGTCCGTCCTGCCCGACCGCGGAATTGCGCGGTTCGGCGACCTGCGCCTCCGCCCCGCAATCGCAGTCTCACGTGCAGTGCGTTCCGGGCCCCGCGCTGGCCATGGCACCACTGCTCGCTTTCGCTTGTTCCTTGAATAGCACGCGCCGCCTGCGCTGCGAACGCTTGTTGAGCCCCCCCCCAGCGCGGCCGAAGCGCGCGTCCGATGACACCCGCGAGCACGCCCGATTGCGCCCCAGCGCCGCGCGCGCCGGCTGCGCTGACAGCGCCAACCAGCCAACGGTTTCCCGACCCAGCGTGCGCCCGAAACGCACGGCGCCTTCGCAATTGCCAGTGCGCGCGAGACGTTGGATGCACCTCTCCCACCCCGCCCGCCCCTGCCACCCCCCCGCGCGTTCCACCCCCACCCGTTGCGCCTCCGCGCAGCGCCTCGCCAGAGTGCCAAAGAGCTCGACGCAATCGCAAATCGCGGGTGCGCAGCGGTCCGCGCGACAGCGCCGCCCTCCTTCGAACTCGCATGCGAGCAATTGTCGCGCAACGCTGGCCATCGCGCGCCTCCGCGCGCGCAATAGCGCGCATGCGAGCGTTCTCGCGCGAGCCGCGCGCGGCAGCCGCCGTCGGCAATGAGAGCAAGCGTGGGATGGGGGACATCGCAGGGGGGGATGGGGGCGGGCTGGGCGCGGGGCGAGCGGCGGGGTGGTGACGATTTCCAGACAAAGCGGGTGAACGTGGGACGCGCGATGAGCCGCGCGCGCACTTGTCGGGGTCGGCAATTGGCGGCGCGGCCAGGCGCTTTCGCGCGCGTCGCATTCCTCCTACAAGCGGGTAATATTCGGAGCGCCTTGTCGTCTCGGCGGCTTCGCTAACGCGGCCGCGCCAGACTCACGCACGCCCATGAAACGACTGTGCGCAGAGAAGCCGCGCCAACCACACCAGACACAACGCCCGACGCCACCCGCGCACGCGGCCGCTCGCGCGGGCGATCGCGCGCGCTTCCCTTCGCGCGCCGAGCGCGGCCGCCGTCGCGGAAAGAACGGCGGGAACTGACGAACTACATCGGGGCAGAAAAGCGCATGCTCGAGGGTTCGGCCTCGAGCGTGGATGGGAGGGGAGGGGGAATGAGGCGCGAGGCTGGGTGCTTGCGCGCGCGTCGCATCCCCTCTGCAACGAGGTAGTCTGCGGAGCGTTTTGTCGCCCGACGGCCTCGCACTTGCATTCGCGCCGAACGGCTGCGCGCGCGCCCGCAAGAAGCACGGCGCGCGCGGCAGAAAATCATCCCGGCAAAGCAACCTAACAGCGATGTGTAGGAGCATATTTGGAAGCATCCCCCTTAAGATTCAGATGAGAATCCAGTTGTAGAATTCTGCTGTGCTCGCAGTCGTAGTCGCATTCGCGATGACAAGTCGCAGTGGCAACGGCAGTCACAGTCACAGAATCAGCCTCAGCCTGCCTCAGCCTCAGCCTCAGCCTGCCTCAGCCTCAGCCTGCCTCAGCCTCAGCCTCAGCCTGCTTCAGCCTCAGCCTCAGTCTGCCTTCAGCCTCGGCGTCAGCCTCAGGCCGCCTCAGCCTCAGCCTGCATCAGCCTCAGCCTCAGCCTCAGCCTGCCTCAGCATCAGCCTGCCTCAGCCTCAGCCTCAGCCTGCCTCAGCCTCAGCCTCAGCCTGCTTCAGCCTCAGCCTCAGTCTGCCTTCAGCCTCGGCCTCAGCCTCAGCCTGCCTCAGCCTCAGCCTCAGCCTCAGCATCAGCCTGCCTCAGCATTCAAAATGTGGCCTGAATGGAGTTTCTGGGAACTCGAAGAACACGAAGTGGCCTACAGTTGGCTCCGGGCATTCAAAATCATGCCCAGGAATGGAGTTCTGGGAACTCGAAGACCACGAAGTGGCCTACAGTTGGCTCCGGGCATCCAAAATGTGGCCCGGGAATGGAGTTCTGGGAACTCGAAGACCACGAAGTGGCCTACAGTTGGCTCCGGGCATTCAAAATGTGGCCCGGGAATGGAGTTCTGGGAGCGCCAAGAGCGATTTTGCGAGGATGTCCCAAGCGATTTCGGCTTCGGCGGCAGCCGCCCCGGGTCCCGCCCCGACCCCTCTGAGGAGTCATGATGGTCTCTTTTGACACCACTAGAAACCTATCAGTCTTCGCTGTCAAGTAAAAATACTTAAGTCAGAGCCCTACCCTACGCGGCCGCCTACTCCTAAGCAGCGTGCGCAATGGCACGTGCGGGACACCATGCAAGCGCCGCGCGCGCATGGGCCCGTGGCGCCCCCAGCCCGCGCGCGTGCGTGCGCGTGCGCACGCGGTTACGCATGTGCTCGTGGGTGCGTGAGTGCGTGAGAGCATTTGCGCGTGCTCTGTTGCGCGCGCGCGTGTCGGTGCGTGTTTGCGCGCGCGTCGGCACATGCACGCTCGCGCATGAGCGCGCACGCGTGCGCGCGCGACGGCGCGCGATGGGGCGCGCGGTCGTTTGCGCGCGATGCCTGCGCACGCCCAGGGGGGCGAGCGACGGCAGGAGAGGCGCGCGGCGGCATGAGAGGGAGGAGGCGGGAACGGCAGACTGACAATTGGGGAACGGTATATGCGGCGTTGGACGAGGAGGAACGCCCAAGGGAATTTGGAGACGGTAAAAAGGAGGAGGGTGACAGGAGTGGAAGGTGACGATGGGGATTTAGATGAAGATGGTGGCGATGGCAATGCGATGGTGACAACACCGAAAGATGAGGACGATTCAAAGCGAGGATGGAGATTGCAGGTGGTGATTGAGATGATGATGCTGGTGGTGACGATGGCCATTAGGAGAGCGCAGACCCCACTACAATTTGGCTTTGGCCTTGGACGGCCCGCCGCCCCAGACGGTCCGCAAGAGGGCGCTCAAATTCCCCGCGCGCGCCGGCATTAGCCCGACGCGAAGGCTTACACCAGAAAGCCGCACTGCGCCTGAACATGACATTGAAGTGCTCAGCGAAGCCCTAGAAGAACACACAGATGCCCCAAGACATGCCACAGACCATCAGGTTACCGTCCTTATCAACAACACAATCGTTTCAAGATGGACTGGTCGGCAGCTTTACAGGCCGCCGGCCTCTGCAAGAGCAACTCATTGCCCAACCTCATGCAAAGGCGAGGGCCGTATACAACTCAAACGCGCACACTGAATCGCCATGTCTCCACCGTTGCCGCAATGCGGCCGCCAACCCTCGCAGCCGAAACTACGCGCGGCAGCGCAAGCAAACTGTCGGAGCACTCCCTACCAGCCCCGTCGCTCCAACACGCAGCCTTGCACTTGCCGCCAATCGCACGCCGACGCATGCATGCGAAAGCTCAATCTAACTCTGGGCACACACTGAACCCGCGACCGACAACGATCGCATCCACTAGTGGGCGCGCCAGCCACTGAACCGCAGGCTGACAGGCGTAGTCTGACAAGATGCCCCTCACCATTTCCTGCACTAGCACCCCCAAGTCGTCACGGATGACTGGCGCGCCTACAACTCCTAAAGCTGGTGCCACACATTGAAGTGCATCACGAAACTCCCCAGCGCCGGCAGAGCACGCCCCCGCAACTGCACTGTTAAAAACTAGGCTGGGATAGTGGCTGCAGCGCGCACAGCGCTAACGCCGCGACTGCAACAGACGGCCAATGCGAGCAGCTCACGGGGCCAACGCTGTAATCGCCGCAGGCGGCAGCGGCCCTGGGACGCCAGAGCCCCCACTCACTGCTTGCCCCCGCGGGTCGCAGCGCCCTGCTGGCCGAGCACCCGCCGCGGCTCCTTCGGCGGCCTGGGCTTCTCCAGCGGCGGCTCGCCCTCGGCCACCTCACAATCCAAGGACTCGGTGCCGCTGCTTGGCGATGGAGAATGCACATCACGGCTGCTCGAAGCGGTCGAAGAGCCCGAAGAGCCCGAGCGAATCTCCGCCAGAATGGTCGGGCATGCCTGGCCTCGCTGCACCATGCCCTCCGCCTTCTGCCTTCTCAGCGCGGCTGCAGCGGCCTCTTTATCCTCGCGCCCATTGGCCTTCTCTGCTGCGTATATCTGTCTGCGCCGCCTGTCGCGAGCGCCATGCACGTTCTCCACGCTCTCGTGGGCGCGCCCGTCATCGCTTACGACGACTGGCACCCTCGACTTGTGCACGGTGAGGTGGAAGGCCGGAACAATCGGCGCGCCCGCCGCCGGCGGGTTCCCCGCCTTCGCTGGCGACGGACTGTCGGTGGAGCCATCGGCGGCAGGAGGCGCCGCCGCCTCGGACTTCCCCACGAGCACCTTGATGCGGTGGAGGAGCTGGGAGGCCGACTTCGTCTTCTCGCGAGCCTGCGCATGAAGCTTGCGCTCCTGCGCGAGTGAGTCCTGGAGATTGACAACCCTGTTCCGTAGCTTGGTGATCAGGCGCCTGTCAGCCGCCTGCGACAGCAGCAATTTCTGAATCTGCATGGTCTGGTCATCCTTCTCCTCGCAGGGCGCCGCTGGCGCCGCGGGGGCACGCGGGGGCACGCGGGGCGCCGCCGGCGCCGCGCTCGGCCACGCGCTAGAGGCCCGTCCAGAGGGAGAAGGCACTGCGGCCCCAGAAGGAACCGACACTGAACACGCAGCCTAACTATGCCAAACGCGGCGACTGACAGAGGAGTGATGGCTGGAACGAAAAGTACTTGAACTGCTCTCGGCGCCCCCATGCACGCGGGTGTCATTGGCGGGTCATTCGCCAAAACGTGGCAACGAGTGGCACGGAGGAGGCGGGGGCGGGAGACCAGGGGGGAAGGGGAACGGGGGCGGGCACGAGAGACGGCGCCAGCGCGGACGCGCGGGGGGGGACAGAAGTGGACAGGGGACAGGGTTGCACGACCGCGGCTAGGGGCACGCGGGTAGGGAAGAGGCTCAGTGGAGCCCAATGTATCTGACCTCAAAGGCACCATTCAGCCCAGGGCGTTTTGAGACAATCGTTTCTAGCAGTTCCGAACGACACCTCATGGACCTTAGATGTTGAGTGCGGGGCTTTTCGGCCAATGCGTTCAAGACTCCCGCGGGCACTCTGGCGGGCGCGCCATTGATGGGGGGCAGGCGCGCGGGGGCCCCCTGGGGGCCTTCAGAGAAACATCATGTCGCATCAATACTTGGCTACGCGCAGCGCGGCCATCCATGAACCAATACACGCGGTGCAAGAATCCAAGGCCACAGGCTCGCATCTGCATCAACTTGCACTCCATAGGAGTTCTCTCCTATCCGAACTGCGTTCCTGCAGCCACGTTCGAAAATCATCCTCTCTGGCATTCCCGTGATCGTCCTCCTCCTCCTCCATTCGGTTTGCCTTCTCCTTGTGGGCGCTCTCCCACCCCCCGCCCCCCCCCCCCTCGCGCCCCCCCCAAATCTACCCCCCCCCCACCCCCACCCCACCCCCCCACCCCACCCACGCACGCTTATGCTCCGCGCGCGGCCGACGGGAATGCCTCACACGAGCCTGGTTTCAAGCCTCATGAAGCCGATCTCCCCGCCGCTCTTCCCCCCCCTGCTCCTCCTACTTTCGCGCAATCTCCTCCATCCCCCTCGCGCCCCCCCCCCCCCCTGTTGTTCAAACCTGTGCGGCCCGAGCGACTGTAAGTGCACTCGCGGGCCACCTCCCGCAGCTGGGGCAGGATCCACCGCGTTGACCGACATCCTCTGCCAGGTGGCGCCGCAGGGCTTCAAGCACAAGAGGGCCAAGGGCAATGCCAGCGATGACATGCGGATGCAGGTCTCGAAGCCGCCAGCGTCCGACGATGGCAGCTCGCCCTCCGAAGCGGCGCCGCGCAGCACGATGAACCAGTCGCGATTTAGCACCGCCGGCCGTAGGTCGACCTGGGACGTGAGAGTCTTGAACACACTGTGAAGGATGTTCCTGCATTTGTAAAGTGCGCGGCCCTCTGCGCAGCGCACCAGACATCGACCAGCCAAGAAGCATATCCTGTCCTTCGTCGACTCCTTCTCCGTTGGCAATGGCGGTATCTTGTCACAGCCCTTATGGTGGATCATCAAATTCCTCGAATGCGACTCTACATCCAACAACTGAGCAATGCTCCTGTGCTTGGCGTCCACTGCGTACGCCAATGCGTTTGGACGATCTAGTGATGGCGTCTGGGTCGCGCAGGAACGCTGGCGCGCCCGCGCTGCTAGGTAAACCAACCAAGCTGTCACCCGATGCCGCAGCTGCGCCCGCGCCGAGCAGCGCCTCGATATGCGGCGCGCGGCGCTCCCCCTCACCGCCCACGAACTCGGTGGCCGCATGCGCCTCTGCCCGCCTCTGATCGGCCGACCTCGCAGACAACGCGTGCGTGACCTGCGCTGCAAATTGCCCGCCCTCTGCCCACGTGCTGCTGCGCCCGACCACGGCCCCAGCTAAAGTGGCCGCTGACTGGGAATCAGCGACGTCGATGTCCTGCCACAGCGCGTCGGCCGTGATCCGCTTCAAGCCTGACGCAGCAGCGCGGTGTATACATTTCAAGGTCGGCCCGAAGCTCCTGCCAGATGGATCAGCGCGGTGCTCCTCCGTGCCCGCGGCCCCCGCGGCAACGAAGTGCGCGCGATCATCATCAGACAAGTGCCTGTACCTATCGGCAAGCACCTTGACGCCCCTGTAGAAGCCAGCGTCGCTCAAAGAAATAAAGGCGCGCCACGCGCCACCGCCACCGCGGCGCGTGCGCTCGGTCTTCTGGACACCGTCGGGCTCATAAATCTTGGCGCCCGGGATCCAGCAGCTGCGGAGGACGGCAACTTGCGCTCCAGAGCCCGAAGCCGCTTCTGCAAGAAAGCCGCCGACGCGCCCAAGAAGGACGACATGTGGGTGAACGGATTCGTCCTGAACGCCTGGCGGATTGACCCGCGCAGCGCCTCGATCCTGAAAATGCTCGGGATCGGCAACAGCGCCAGCAAATTCAGTCGTGCCAATGCTGTTGGCGACGCCAGGTCAGGGTTATTCCGCTTGAAATCCTTCCACAAGTGGTCGCCCAAACATTCTGCGCATGCGGCAAGTGTGGCAGCGACGCCTGGCCTAGACATCAACAGGAATGCGCGGCGCCGGGTACTTCCTGCTCAGGAGAGCGATATCGTGCTCTGCCCTCGCACCAGCTGCTGACAGAGTGGTAAATACCAAAGCGTTCAATCGTTCTGTCCGCCCGCGCGGCAATTTGCTTGACCACCTCGCGCTCTCCATGCACGAGAACCTGAGCTTTGTGAGAACGCGGCTTCGAGCGCCCCGTCTGCGCAGACCACCGCACGGTAAGTCCGAACATGCCCAACGCCTCCCAAGGATGCGCCACGGCGAAATGCGTCGGCCTCCAAAAACGCCTGGCGCCCCCCCCACGCGTCGCCGCCGACCACGTCAAGGCCTTGAACATGTGCATGATTGACATCACGATGATTCGCATGGAGTCTAAGTCTGGCAAGAACGAGGAGCATGCGAAAGCCATGCCCCTGCGCCGATGCTCCGAATTCATCTGCGCCTCGCTCTGGCGGGCCCTGTCCGACGCCAACGCGGCGGCGCCGCCCTCCGCTGCGCCCGAGCCCTGAGCGCCAGCTGCCGCGGCGGCAGCGCCGCCCGCATCCTCGGACGACGCGCGCCCCACGGGGGCCCTCGATCACGCCGCGCCCAGGAGACGCCCGCGCCGCCTGACCCGAGACGCCATTCTCCAAAACGGCAAACTCAACGTCGAACCGAGACGACGACCCAGGGCCCCATGGTAGACCCCAGGACCTGGCCCACTGGGCCGAGCCGCCTCAGAACAGAGAACGTCTCCCAAGTGCGGGGCGTCTCGGTAGCATCCACTGGACCGCCGCCGCCCCCCCCCCCCCCACCACCCAGCGCCCCTCGCCGTCGAAGCCGTCCTCGCCGAAGGAGCCCAGCGCGAGCAGCGGCGCGACGGGACCGCCACCGACGCCCCCCTCCCCCCCGAGCGCCACCGCCCTGTTCTCGACCTCGGACGCCCACTGCTGGAAGGTGGCCGAAACCAGGCCGCGGCAATGCTCCAGCAAGCCGAACTGGTCGATTACAGCCCCCTTGCCGAACCACCTGTTGTGCGAGAACTTGTTGAAAACATTCGGGCACACAGCAAACGCGAGGCCAATGACAACTCCCTCCCCCCATGCGCCATCCTCGGCCTGGTCGCGAGGGGCATGCGGAACGCGAACGGCGATGCGATCTCTGCCGGACCAATCCCCGTTCGGGAGCATCCCGAGAACAACCGGCCTCTCGACGACATTCGTGCCCGAACGCCCGCGCATCGCCGAGATCAGCCTGGGTCGACGGGCATGCTCCTCCAGCGGCGGGCCCGTGCCGAAGTACACCCGCTTGTGGATATGCCCCCTGGGGACGCGCCGTAAATGCGACATTGATCCAGCCATCTCCATCGCCTTTGCAACCCTGACCATGCCAGTGGCAAGCCACTCGTAACATCGAAAAGTGGACCCGAATACTCCAGCGACCAAATGAGCGTGACAATCCACATGGAGGTGCTGCCAGACGGGCCTGTCCTCCAACATGGCACCCCGCCCCGCGGCCCCATTCGGACCGCCCCTGTCGCTGATTGACATCCTGCACCGTGAGGGGTAGTGCTGGGCGAACCCGTTGGAAGTCGACGCATGCCGGAGGGCTTGGCGCGTCGTCTCTCCAGTCACGCGGTCCAGGCACTGCAAACCAGCTGCCATTCCCCCAACGACAGTTGCAATCGCCTGCACACCGTGAAGCTCGACACCAACAACAGCCCCCCAAAAGGATTCCGTCTGAAAAAGCTTGCAGGGGCCAGCCTCGCAGAACCTGGTGCCAGTTGAAGTCCACCCTTCTGGGCCAATGATATCCCTGGGAGTTGTGGTCGCCACGATCTCCTCAATCCGATCTCGAAGCCGCACTGGCATCGGAGTCTCGTCGTAGAGATCGCGCTCCACGGGGTGCACTGGCCTGACAGTTGGCGAATGGTAAATAGAAAGGTCGAACGACATGCGAGAAGAGGCCCCCAAATCGAATGCTATCTGGGACAAAAAACTTGCACATCGGTTTGACGTTTCCCGTGGCACAGTGAAGTCGGCCGCAAACACGCTTGCATCCCTAAGTGAATTCGAAACACACGGGTCCAGCAGTCTGGCCGCCACGCCGGCAGCTGTCTCATTGATTCTGCTACCATCAACCAGGGCCCACGTCACGCAGAGTTCAACATATTGCGAAAGCTGCGACGGCACGAACTGCACGCACCGAAATTGAACCACATCTCTGCTGGAAGCTGGAACCCGCGATGCAACCGCCATCGCCGAAACGTCATCAGGCATTGATAGAATGATGCGCCCTTCCGCCGCAACCTCGGGCACTGCTGGTGCTGGTCGCGCGCGTCGGGCTCGCTTCGGAGGTCGACCTCTTGGCTTGGCTGCAACAAGTGGTGCGAAGGCAACAGGTGGTGCAACAGGAGGGATTGCAACGGCAACAGGTGGTGCGACCGCTGAGTCCAGA